AAAGCTGGGCAGGTTAATTGAAGTGGACACCAGCATAACATCTTTCTTCAGAGGCTAATGCACCTGATTTCTGATAACGTAGAGGTACTGGTTTCAACTGAAGTAACAAGTCAGCTTGCAGAGTTTGTGTTAACTTGTTTTGAGCTGTGTGGCTGATGAAGTAATAGGAGAAGAGTACATTTTAGGAAATGTTTTATTGATTCGGAAATGAAGTATAGAAAGACAAAGTATCTCTGGGTTATTTGTCTGCTTCAGTCAGATTTCAGCTGAAAGTTGGCTCGGATGGTTTGCAAAGGATGATATGAATGGCTGTTTATCAAAATTTACTTCCTTATCACATTTTGAAAAAAATGTGAAAAATAAAAAAATGTGAAATCGATAAAAATACATAGGCTTAATGCCTTTGTGTTCAGTGTTTAAATTTTGTGTTAGTTTCAGTAGTGCTTTTCATATTCTATCAATAAAAATAGGAGGTTAAAGCCATGCCATACAATATTTGCTGTTCAGTGAAATTAATAAATTTGTTTTATCCTAATGATGGATATATCTTTTTGTTTTAAAGGGCTAGAGTTTATAAAGAAAACCCTACCCCTTGAAACTCTATCCAAGGCTTGTTTTCGCATCTCATGAAAGTGCTTTAGGTTTTGCTTTTAAGGGATCAGTATAATTGTTTTAAATGTACAATCAAAACCATTCCTGAGTAATGAATCTCATTCAGTAACAATTACCTGGCTCTTTCCTTGCTGTTTTAAGCCATAGTGCTTCAGGATTATGCCTTTAGTACTGGAAGTCCAAATTAGGTGCTTCAAGCTGATCATGTTATAGCTGTCATGTTTTATTTCACATTTGCTTTTATTGATTGTCATTTCATTTATTTCATCATACTCCATTGATAGCTGCATGCTGCTTCTAATTTAATATCTCAGTAGTATTTCAGAAGTTTTATTAGGATGTATTTTATACTTTGAATCAGAGAGGCATACTAGAGTGGTGGATCTAACATGCTTTTAAGTTAATTCACCTGCCACAGATTGGTATTAAATAATTAATTTTGAAATTTTTATCAATTATTAGTTAAAATCTCATTTTACAGAATTGTTCAAGTACTTTTAAATTTCTGTGTGATTATGTAAAATTATTTATGGAACTAATGTATTACACTATTTGTGTACTCTGAAAAATCTGTTAATAAAGAATAAGGTTAGGTAAGCTTAGTATGCTCTGAATTCTGTGTACTTCTCAACAATCTGCTTTTTTGTTCTGCTCAGACATTAGTCTATTTATGTAGGCTATGTGGCAGAGTTTTAAAGCTGATTTACCTGCATTTCTGTAAGTCACATGAAGAAAAAAAAGGCCAATTAAATATTTTGATTTCAATATAAAAATTCTATATTTTAAAATTTAGTGTGAATTTAACTTTATTTTTTCTTCAGTCTCTTCTGTAGTCTTACTTTTTTCAGTGTTTTCTTTGCTGGCTATGTCCTTTATCAAAATACCATGTAAGTGAAGTGAAATAAATTGTTCTGCCAACAGACTTTTAAGAAGTAGGAAAGAGTAGTGTGTTTTGGTAATGTTAATACAATTTTACTTTAGTAAAATAGGAGTTGTTCTAGTTTAAAAATTAAATGCATCAGTGAAAGAGAACGGAGACAAGATGTCTAATTCATGGTACCCTAGATTAAATTAAAAAGGAGAAAGAGATGTTTGCCAAGTGTTTATAGTATTAGATTAATATGGGTACAGGGACAGCTCTTGTGGATGCATCCCTTCACAGAATGTAGTAAGGCCTGGGACAACTACACATTTGCATAGGTGGTTTATATTCCTCTTTCCTAGACCATGACACCTGTGAATGAAGGGTGTGCACCAGAGGATACAGCACAGAGTATATCTTGGGAACTAAGGTTACAGCCATCCTTCAGGAATGGGAACAATTTACACAGTGTGCCTTCTCTCTAGGTTCAAAAATAATCTTGTCTCCTACTTGTTACAGAAGTTCTTTTGTCTTTCCATGGCACTATTTTCCTTCTCCATCCTATAGATTAGTTTACTGATCTATTTACTCTGTAGAAATGGGACTAAATAGCACTGAAAGCTAAAGTTTCTTACTCTGCATGGGAGAAGCATGGTACTGATGTGACTGAAATCTTTCCCTTTTGTCAGCTCTTAAGGGAAGATTCCTCTGTGAAGCTTGTTGAACTGATTTTTGTTAATTCTTGGCAGTAAAGCCAAGACACAATTGATGACTGTCAGAAGTGAGTATAACTTAATTATGAGAACAATGAAAACAAGTTACATCTTCTATCACTATCTTCCCCAGTTCTCGGTTTCCCAGAGCAATCTGTCTTTCTGTCACTTAGAACGAACATGTTTCAGTGCTGCAGCTCTTTTTATGTAATGACATTGCCAGGCACAGTGGTAGTACTAGTAAAGAAAAAAATAGAAATACACAGATTAGTAGCATTACTGCAGCATGCTGGTAAAACAAATGCCCAAAGATAAATGGCAGTGCTGTGAAGTTACTGCCATTCTCACTCCCCATGCCATTTTCAGTCTGAACAACTTTTGAGCACAGCACCTGCAGAGATTATTATTTTTCTTCCAGAAGATATGAAACAAAATACAGATGACCCACATCTGGAAATTACTGAGATAAGCTTGGTCGTATACCTTGGAAATGAGATCTAGCAGGTTTTTCTCCTTGTAAAATGTTCTCTGATCTGCAAGGTACTTCACTGTGATTCACAGTTGATCAGGGTAATACTGGGTGTTTTTGACATCCAGACAACAAAACCTCTCTTTCAAAAGCTATGCAATAATTTTGTTAATCAGAATTCAGTTTTAATTACTGAGCTAGCCGTGGTAACATTTATATTAGGGAGTATTTCTTTCCAGGACGGGTTGTTAGTGTTGGAATGGGCTGCCCAGGGAGGTGGTGGAGTCCCCATCCCTGGAGGTGTTTAAGAGTAGTCGACATAGCACTGAGGGATCTGGTGTAGTTGGGAACTGTCAGTGCTGGGTTAACAGTTGGACTAGATGATCTTCAAGGTCCTTTCCAACCTAGTTGAATCTGTGGTTCTGTGATTTTTATCTCCAGCAGCAATAGCTGGACTTCTAAGTCATAAGAATTTTAAAAGTTTCTTAAATTTATTTCTAAACAAGAAAGAGCCTGGTGTGCATGTATCTTTAAAATACTGTAAGTCTCAGGGGTTTTTGTTTCAAACACTGATTTTTAAGAAATAAGTAGAAGTCAGGGAAGTTTGGAATGACTAATTTAGAAAATGGTGCTTCCCCTCATAAAAGGTGATCTTTAAGGTGCTTGAAAGTGTCATGTATGCAAAATTGTGGAGTGTCATGTAATTGTGGGAGCCCTTTGTATTTGTGTTGACTTGTGTAACCTCCCTGACAACACCAACAGTGTAGTATTGTTCAATGGCGTTTTTTCTACTTGCCTTAAAATGAATGGTATCTTAGTTGTGTTCCTGGTGGAGGAAAGAAAGGGGAAGGCAGAGGGAAAGCCAAACACTAATTACTGATATTAAAAAAAAATCCCCCCCCCCAAAAAAAACCAACACAACCAACCCCAAACCAAACCCAAAAAACAAACCACACCAAAACCCAAAACAAAACACCCCAACCCAGAAAACCCCCAAATCAAAAAACCAACCCCAAACAAAGTAGCCCTTGAAGCAGGGTACAAGCAGTGGCAATGCTGTGCTGGGTGATGTGTGAAGATCAAAGACATGTACTTGAAAGATTTGTAAAACATGCCCCCCTTTAGTATATTGTAAATACAGCTGTGGGTGATGGTTCTCCTTTTATCATCCCCTTCTAAAACCTTTTGTTAGCTTCCCCTTAGTTAGTTAACTTGCAGCTATTGAAATTAGGAGTCTTTATATTAACAAGTTTTCTAATTATTGATTAGTTTAGTCTTTCTTTTTAGTTATTTGGTGGTTATTTAGTTATTGTTTAGTGTATTTCATAGCCACTGGTGTGCACTGTGCTCACTTTTTTCTATTCAGTTTGAAGTCTTGGCATATCCATGCACGATGGACTCCTATAGAAACCTACTGTCTATTTCCCAGTGTTCTAAAGGGAAAATTTAATAGCATAACTAGGTTCTCCTTTGATCTGTTGAGGGAATGCAGGATTGCTGGCAAATATTGTAATTCTGTTTTACAGAGCGTATTGTAGTGATGTTTCATCTCCCTCCCCCTCCCCTCTTTGTTTTTAATTTCATGAACCGAACAATTTTTCTTCAGCCATCTATTAGATTGATGCATATTTGGAATCTGAAATTACTGTGGCACAGAAATACATCAGGGCTAAAATGATCTTTTGCACTCCCACAGGGAAGATACAAAACCCAAAATATTTTATTTCCAGTTTTGTGCCTCCAACAGCAGGAACAGCTTTTTTCTCTTGGAGACAAACCAAATTCTTTAGTAAGCACAGGCTTACCTTACTAAAGAAGAATGGTAAGACTGGGCACTACTTATGGGGAGTATGAGCAAGGGACAGTATACTTTCATATAGATGCTCTCATAGATCCATCTGCCTTTGAGTATGGACAGTTAATTTTGACTGCCTGAAAAAAATTGAAGTTACAGTACTTTATTTTAAGCTTTTTTTAAATGCTTGTAAGTATAGTTTACTCCTCCCATATAAGCATGAGGCATATGCATACTTATCTGTATGTACATCAGAACAAACTATTCTCCTTGAACTGTTAAGAACATTGAAGATTACAGAAACGTTCTTATTTTTCATTTTGTTTCTCCTTGTCTTCCTCTGGGCTGTTACAAATTAAAGTATCTTTACCTGTAATGCATGTTTATTGTTCCTACACATAAAAAAGCCTCTCTAAAGAGCCCGTATGCTTAATTGCAGGTGACTTGTTTATAACCTGATTATTTCTGGGGCTATGTTTTCCACTTAGAGTTGGTGTGCTAGAGGAATTGTGATTGTTTTGTTTGTGTTTTTATTTATTTATCTTTTAGGTAAAGATAGAGTTTTCAACACCCCGTTGTGTGAACAAGGAATTGTTGGCTTCGGTATTGGAGTTGCTGTTGCAGGTGCTACAGCCATTGCAGAAATCCAGTTTGCCGATTACATTTTTCCAGCATTTGATCAGGTTAGTACTAATAAACTTGAGAAGTAAAAAGAAATCTTATGGCTGCTTACTGTTCTGTTAGTCTTAATACTTTTGACTATGTAATTTTTGCAAATATATCCACGGCTCTATTACTAATATTTATGCGTGCTTTAAGTAAACAGGAAGGTACCAAGTCCAGTCTGAAGGCTCATTAAATAATGGAAATTAAAGATGTGGTTTGAAGCAAGCGTCTTTGTTTATGGTTTTGGTTTTGTGGTTATGTTGGCTTCAACAGCCCTTAAATTCCTTAGCTGTCTTCCCAAAACCATCTCTGCCTTCTCTGTGCTGCTGCAGCCAGCCATGTGACCACAGGACAAACTACAGATTTGAACTGAGTTGATTGACAGCATGGGAATGGGGGAACAACTGGGTTATATGGCTGCTCCTGAGGCCTAGGCGTCTAACTTGAACATACTAAATTATTGCTTCTTGCCTTGGAAAATATTTGCCTTTCCACTGACTCACAGAATTCCTTTGCTTCTAATTTGGTCCTCCAAATCCCATGCATGGTGCAGATGATGTAGTTACATCTCATGTATTGTAGAGGCTTAATGACCCATAGCTAAAGGTATTGGACTGAATGTTTTTATATATAAATCTTCCCAGATTGTTAATGAAGCAGCAAAGTATCGTTACCGCTCTGGAGATCTGTTTAACTGTGGAAACCTCACCATTAGAGCCCCCTGGGGCTGTGTGGGTCATGGTGCACTATATCACTCTCAAAGTCCAGAAGCTTTTTTTGCTCACTGTCCAGGAATAAAGGTACAGTAACTCTTACTTTATGAAGATTAATTGTGTTTGGTTTTTATTTGACCTGACTAACCATGAGACTGTGTGCAGGCAGGGGAAGAATGGAAGTCAGTCCACAACAAAATACCTGAATATGTTAATTAAAAACTCTTTTAGAAATTTTCAAGTTGTAAAACTTTAACTGTGTTGTGTTTAAGAATTTATAACCATTATTGGAGCAATCTTTGGTAGGCATAGCATTTTGTATTTGTGTGCTTTTTGCACTAAAAGCATACATTTTATGTCTGTTCTGTGTCTAGTATAGTACAGAATCTAAAAACTAACACTAAACAGTAGTTTCCTTTTTTTTTTGTTTCCCCTGCATCTGTCATTTTAAGTGTATTACTGAATTCACTTATATGAATGACAGTGACAGGCAGTGGGCACAAAGTGAAACACAAGAGGTTCTGTCTGAGCATAAGGAAGCACTTGGCTCAGGTTGTGCAGAGAGACTGTAGTGTCCATCCTTGGAGGTATTCAGAAGCTGTCTCCACATAGTCCTTGGCAGCTGCCTCTAGGTGGCTCTGCTTGAGCAGGGTTGTTGGACCAGCTGACCTTTTGGAGGTCCTTGCCAACTTCAACTGCTCTGTGATTCTCTGAATGATATCTTGAGACAAGATTTCTGTCTGAGATGGTGGCATCCCTGAAGCTAAGATTCCTAGCGCTTAGATGGATTACTTTCCTGGACAAGAGGGAGGGGTGGTATCTAGTCACTTCAGATTAAAAGCTGTTTTCCAGCTCTCCATTTTTTTTCCTGAGTAAATTTTTGTCTATGGACTTGTACTTCTGGGTTGACTGCCATCCAGTCCACTGAGAAATGACTCATAGCTTGATTAATGTGGAAGTCTTAAGCAAAACCAGTGTTTGTATGCTGAAGATACATGTTCATTGTTCATCTGTTGTTTAAAGTATCATCTCTAAATGGCTTTGGTGTTCTAAAATTTCAGATATTGCTCATTTACAGGGAGGCCACAGCCATTTCTCCTACTTGTTTCTCTTTACTTAATAAAAAATCTTGTAGTATTCACATTTTATTTAATGGTATTTGAGAAATTGAATGCATTTTTGTCCTTGGGTGTTCTTTATGATCATTGAGGTGTTCCTGCTCTGAACTTGAAAATATTTCCTGATATAGACAAAAGCAATCTATGAAGTCTTTTGCCAGGTAATTGAACCAAATGGTTTCTTGAGCTTGTTTAAAAACTAGAGTAGTTTATTATCATATGGATGCATAAGATAACTTACATGATTAAGATACTGATGCCAGGTCTAGCTAATCTATGCTGATTTTGTTGGTCAATCTCAAATCTTTATATACTGAACTAAGTGCCGAGATTTAGCGGTTCACTCTGTTGATTAAAACTCTTAATTCATAGCAACCTACTATTGTACCACTGTGCTTAGTCTTTTGTATAAATTAGTAAGTCAGAATTTTATTTAATCACTTCAGATAATTTAATTACCTCTCTGATCTTTCTTCTTGTTGGTTTTTCACTTCCACTTTTCCTTGGGTAAAGCACTAAAATAGGTTGCTACCATTAATAGCTGTCATCTTGGTTAAATGTAAAGGGCATATTAATTTCTGTGGAACTGGTGGAACAGTACCAGTTTTTGATGCACAGAGAAGAATTTTATCTTTTGAATTTTGTATCTTGGTGAAAACAATGTTGTTTCTTTAACATTTTTTACAAAGCTATTCATTAATGCAGTTAATAAGGTTTAAGGCTTGCTTTATCTTCAAGGTTGCAGGTCTTTTTTTGAATGAACCTGAACCCAGCACTTAATGTATGAATCCAGAAATGCAAATGAACTCATGGTTCAGATGTATTTGCAGAAGTCCCATATCTATGCATATTTTCTCCAAATTACAGGAGGAAAGGCTGTGTATTACAAACTGGAAAGGGCAGGACTGATCTTTGGGGAAAGTGATTTTCAAGACTGCCCTCTTATTAAATTGTGGGGCAGGTTCCTGATTTAAGATTTTTATTTTGTGTTTTCCTTAAGTGAAAGGTAAGGTTTGGATTTCTAACACAAAGGGAATTTGTACAACTTTGACTGTTCAGGGGAAGGACTATAATCATTAGTACTTAAGACAAGACTTGTTGGGGTGACAAGGACATTGCTAGATGGTTGTATCTTTTTTGTCTACTGCTGTGAGGATGTATGTCTTAATGGATCAGACTGTCTTCCAAAATTACTGTACTGACTCTCTCCATTCCATTGTAAGACTGCTTCAGAATATTTGCCATCATGGCTAGAAGCTTTCATTTCCAGCCTAAATTTGTTCCTAACTTGTATATTCCCTTTCATATACTAAGAGAGCAATTGTTTTCCCTTTAGTTTGTTTCTTCCCTTTCTTTCCCTTCCAATTGTTTCTTCCCTTTCATATACTAAGAGAGCAATTGTTTTCCCTTTAGTCTTTGTTTTGTTAGACTAAACAAATCAAAGTATCAAAGAGATGTTAACAAGTTCTGAAGCTCTTTTGGCACCTGTTTCATCTATTTTCTTTCAAAACAGTTGATACAGTCATGAAGTATTCCAACTGAGTTTCTAGTAATGATTTTTTTGTAATAGCACTAACAATTCCTTGGCTATATTATTATGCATTTTTTAGGGATGTACTGCATAGTGTCCTAGTTATCTTTTGAGCAGATAATAAGTTCAGATCCGAATTTCTACTGCCGGGTTCTAAATTTATCACAAACATTTAGTCCTTAAATGTGTGACTTTTCAGTCTGTATTGTTCAGTTTGCTTTTATGTCAGTCATGTCCTCAATGTGAACTAGGTCTTTTTCGTATCATTCTCTGTAGTGAAAGTGACTCTCAGCTTTTGAATAGTTTTCATTACCATGTTCTGACTTAACATTGTAAATAAAATCTGTCCTAAAAATGATCCCTAAGGAGCTGCACTAGTAACATCCATCAGTTGGGTAACTTCCCATGTGTCAGTTACAAACGCTTTGGTGAAACATTAATAGACTGCTTCTCCCTTGTTTAGAGAAATAACTTCTCAAGTTAATTTGATGTGATAGCAAATTTAGGTTGTGACTTGACTCCTTTCTATTACTTTTATATAATTAAATGTTCTTACAGTCAAAAAATATTTTGAAACCTTGGAAACTCCTGGAGGCAGTTATCATGCCTGTAGTTACATGGCCTATTTTATTTGTTCTTTAAACAAGTGGTACAACTAATGTTTTCAGTCAGAGGGGACCACTTCTACCTTCACAGCTATAAAAGTGTTTGATAGTAGACTTCATGCTGCATGTGCCAGCTCTTTGACATGTCTGGGATGTAAATTAGCTGCTCCTTCTGATTTGAAGGAATTGAGCTCTTGGTTCTAATTTCATCTAAACTGACAATTTGCTAATTTTCTGTTCATAATCAACATTCTTTTAGATAATCCAAAATTAACTCTTCTGTTGGCAAATCAATTATACTTTTTTCTTCCATGTATTCAGATTATATCTGGAGGCCTTGCTTAGTTTTCTATTTTCTTGCTCATAGTTTCAGATATTTTTTGATATATTTTTGGTATTCATTTCCAAAATAAACAAATTTCAGGCCTCCACCATAAGCAAAGGAAGTAAACTTTAAATAGCTATTTCCTTTTTTTTAGTCTTCAAAATTTACTGGGATAAGTCTGAATACCTTCCAGGACTGCTCTGATGAATCTTTAAACCAAGCAGCATGAGGATCACGCAGCTGAACGTTTTTGTCATACATCTACGTCAATTTTACTAAACTACCATATAGTATTTTTAGAAATCTGACTAACTTCCGTTCCTTCTATCTTAAAATGTTATTGTTAAGATTTTAGTTTGACCTTATTGGAGGGGAGTCCATTAGTGCTTAAATCATGGTGTAGAGGGGAACTAATCAAGCCTCACCAATGAACAAATAAAATTGAAAATTTGGAGTGTGTGTCAGTAATGTAGCACTGATGTTAATTCACTTTGTAAGAACTGCTCAACCTGTATGTAGGTTTATTTAAAGCAAATAGTTGCTTGATTTTTAATATTGAGGAATCTTGTAGCAGAATTGTGGTTTAAATAAACTATTAAAAAAATATTTTTACAGATTGTTATTCCAAGGAGTCCTCTTCAGGCCAAAGGACTGCTGCTGTCATGCATAGAGGACAAAAACCCATGCATATTCTTTGAACCTAAAATACTTTACAGAGCTGCAGGTAAAGATTTATATGCTGTATTTTCCAATAAAGCAGTGCTTTCCCCCCCACCCCCCAATATGTTGATAGTCACAACTTAAACAATACTATAGCAGAAGTCTTCACTTGTTTTGTTTCTAGCTCTGTTTGGGGATTGTGTTTTTAAACGAACTGTGAAAACTGACTAAGATCTCTGAATTCAGCTGCAAAGATAGATGAACATTTACAGTCTGATTCATAATCAGTTAACTTTGGAAATGGAGTGCTTTATGCAGTCTTAGGTTTAAAAAAAAAAGAAATAGAGCTAAGAGGCATTGTCCTTTATCAAGTTGCAATATAAATTTGACAGAAGTTATACTGCTTTCCTTTTTGATAACTCTAGATACTAAAATATGTTTTCAGATCAGTTTTTATTTTTCCAAAAGAACTGAGCCTCACCATTACTATTATCTCAAAGTTAAAATTTCTTTCAGGTGCTTAATTTCTAAAAAACTTGAAAATCTGCCCACTTAGATTTTAATCTTATGTGGAAGGAAGTGTGACAGCCATTATTTAAAAAAAATTTTTTTAGACATAGTGAACTTTTTGGTTCAAAGAAGTTTCAACAGCTATCATTATGTGTAACATATAAGAGTAGAGGAATTTGAAGATGATAGGCTTGAGTTGGTTGTAAAAGTTAGCTTGTTACTACTTTGGACTAGAGAAACTGAACTGATAATAGATAAAAACAAATTTTGCGTGTGGAGTGTGGTTGGGTGAGCAACTGGTAAAATAAAACTGAAGCCATCACTTACCTTCAGCATTTCTGTGGCATATAGCTTTATATACCAACTATGCTTGAATCCATCAATCCAATTTATAAGTTGACTCTGTGGACTGAAGTTGGCTGAAGGAACAAATATTTATATTTTACTTTGGATGTTTTAACAACACTTTTCCATCAGTGCATCCAGTTTGTTAGTAAATCTATCTTCTTTCTAGAGAAGAGAACTAAAGAATAACAAGGGAAAGATTTAGAAAGTAGACATAAAAGCTACAAAAAATAGCAGGATAACTCAGGAACAAATAGGATATTTACTGGGGAAACTGCTTATTTGCTTTTATAGTTTTGAAAAAGACTCAGAATTCCCATTAGCAATGTATTTTTAAAAGTGCAATTATTTTTAGTGTGGCGTGATGTACCCAAAGGGTGTTGCATTCCTTAAATTCAGTGTTTTGAGAGCTTACTGAAATTTAGCAATAAAGACCTCTGACTTAATTTAGGTGAAGTAGTTTGGAAAATGAACTTGAGTCTGAGTCCTGTTAAACAAAGAAAAAAATGAAAGCTTAAAATTCCTGTGCCCCCCCCCCCCGTATTTACAAGTCACAAATACAGACTGCGGAGTTAATAAAATACTTGCTTTCATAGTGGAATGAATGGCTGCACATCAATATCACACATCTTTTGAGAATATAGGGAGGTTTTTGTGTTTGAGGAAATGACTTGTCAAGCAATTGCTGGATTGTCTAGTGCACATAAATCAGCCTTGTGATTGGAATCTTGGCTACAAATGTGCTGAAATAGTGGTTAATGTGGTTTATGTGCTGGTCAATAACCAGCCGCAGCGTTGCTGCTAGGTGATGTTGGTAGTTTCTGAAAGAGTTGTGATTTCCTCCTATGTTCCAATGGCCCGATTTTCAGAGACATTACCTACATTTTGTCTTAGAAATTTCTAAGAACTTCAGTTTAGTGATGTGGGCTGAAATTTATAGTGCATTTGGTCAACATGTGACAGGGAAGATTGTGACAGGTAACTTCTTTCATTTTGAGACAATTTTGAGCAGACTTTTTATTATTTCTGCAATATAAGCCAGGAATATTTTATTATGTAGGAGGTTTTGATGTTCCTTTTATTTTAATTGAAAATCTTTTTCTCTGGCATTGTTAGTTCCTCATCTTACCTCTTTAATTGTCCTTTGTGGTTTGGGTCAGCTTGAACAGGAAGAGTGGTGTCAGAGTTTCTCCTAGGAAGTGAATCTCTGAGTTCCTTCTTATGCTGCTGGCCATAGTCAGGGTTTCTTGTAATTCCACCATAGAAATGAAGTGGCCTGGTGAATTCAGAAATGGGCCAGGGCCATTATGATTGCTTAGTCCAGACATAACAGCAATGACACAAGCCTGATAAACAACAACAGGTTAAATGGTGGAAAGAAGGATTTTAAAAATGCACCTGTCTTGTGTTTTGAATAGAGCAAAGTTTTATAGTATCTTATATGAGTGTGTTGATTCTAGCAGGAGAAGGAAGATAGTACAGATTCAGAAACTGCTTACACAGTAAGCTTAAACTATATATGTATTTCTTGTCTCTTTCCATTATTGTCTCAAAATATTACAGGGTTTTCCAAGGCTGGGATCATGCAGGCTTTCCAAAACAAGAAGAGATTTTTTTTTTTTTTTTTTTTTTTTTTTTCATTTTTTGGGTAGCAGGGTGGGAGGAGTTACTGATTTATATCAGAAACTTCCACTTTGGCACTGGTATATTTTATAGGAGAAAGACCGGATATTAATAGTATAATATGGTATAAAACATCACCCAAGATTTGAGATCTCACTATTCCAGACAAAAAATAATTCTATTTTTGTGATGGTGACTAAGGCATACAATAATGAAATTATATTGCCCCACCATAAAATTTTGTGTTCTAGCTTCACCTGAGTAGATGTGTGTGTTGCAGAAAACTTCATGACTGATGTTACAGTGGGTGTATAGGGACTTCACTGAAAAATGAATGTGTCAAAGATGATAATGGGAAGTAGTATTTTCTATCTGTAAAATTAATGTAGGCATTTGAGCTTCATCATTCTTCTCTAATGGTATTTTCTTTCCCCCATGAGGCCTCTAAATAGCTATCCATGATATTTTGTTCAGAGTTGAGAATATTTTTGAAATTACAGCTGAAAATAGGCTGTAGATGAGATAGGCTTTAACACACAGGATATCTGTTCTTGTTAATTTGAATTGAAGTTATGATGCTTTTTAAAAAAAAAAAAAAAAAAAAATATCAAAAAACCCCAACAAAACATAACAACCAAAACCTGACAAAAACTCCACACCCACTACACCCCAACCAAACAAAAAACTATGCCTTCTGCTTCTGCCCCCAGGTGTTGCTATTATTGTTGAAATAAGCTGTTGGATGCTAGTGATGGAAGATAATATATATCTAGTTTAGGATGTATAACCTACAGTTGCTTTTTGAGAATGTTAAACAGAGTGACTGGTCATTGCTGTTTTATGGAAGCTCTTGTGCAGAACCAGCCTTGTGATTTTGCATCTGCTGCATACCTCGGAGAAGCTATATAGGCCCACCGATTCCTTTTAAGTTGTTTGTGGGTTTTGGGGGATTTTGGATTTGTTTTTGTTTTGTTTTTTGTTGATGACAGTGTGTTTTTTAAGATTCAAGCATAGGGTTTTTTCATAACAGTAAAGACTTTGTACAAAAAAAAAAAAAGAAGAATCTTTGTGTTTCAAAACACAAGTCTGGTCTCCAAGGTAAACCAGAGCTGTAGCACAAAATATTTCAGTGTAACTACCACATGGATATTGTGATTGCTTGCTGGGTTTTTTGAATAATGAATTTAGCTGCATGTCTTCCCAAATGAACAGAGGTTTGCTTATTCAAATATGTTGTATGCTTATTCAGACACGAGGTCAAACTAACCATGTTATTAAATGAACATTCAGTTTTAGATGAGTATTTGCTATCCAGTGTTTTGTTTGCTCACACAAGATACAAGAATAAAATTAGGTCTTAAATCTTCACCCTAGTCATCCCTGGGAGAAAGATGGATATCAAAGTAGCATTGCCTTAAGTTCACCAAATAGACACCGTGATGAACTGAGGAGAAAAGGCAACTTCCAAAGTGAAGAACAGTTTTGCAAGAACACTTTGAAAATATTTCCCAGTTCATTGAAATAGTAACTCACACTTTAGAGCCCTAGTAACAGCAAAAGGAATGAATGGACTTAAAGCTAAGGCCTCAAACTTTGCCTTGGTGTTAATAGCAAACTTCAAAAGTTACAGAGAATTATCTATTTTGTTTGAAAGCAATACAGTTGATAAGTTTCATGTTCTGCGTTAGCTGTGATGTGCAACCAATTTGAAATAGCCCCTATATACAGACATATGTGTTTATGTATAGTTATATATAACATGTTATCTATGTGCATATATTTGTTTATATGGATAGATATGTCTGTAAGACATGTATCATAAAGCAGTAACTAGATTTGAAAAGAAAAAATATACTCAGTATGTGTAGTAATTGCAGATTTCTTCTTCCCATACTCTGAAGCAGTACAGTGCTGCATCTGCAGCTAAGCTGACAGTCAGGACTGCCTGTGTTTCTTGCACAGTCACCCCATTTACTGGCAGCTTGTTTAGCAGGGGACTTGCTCTTCCTCAGTGTGCCTGGGCTCTTTGGAGTGCTCACCCTTACTCTTTGTGTACTTGCTTGGACAGTTATGGCAGTGCCACCACCAGCTTGGTTATACATATGTGGACTGAGAATGACAGTGTTTCCTGCCTTGGACAGCTCTTTTCCTTTCAAAATTCTTGAGTGGAGGATCTTCGCTGGTGTAGCAGCCGTGCATCTTTCCCATAGGAGCTAGAACAGCCTTTTACTTGCCTCACTCTAGTCCCTCCTGGTAGCTGGTGTTTGGGATATGCTGTTCCCACCCCAGCAGCTGGTGGCCAAGACCCCCACTTGCTCCTGTATGTCTCACCACAGGCCAGGGCTTCTGCACCCTGGTTTGACTCCTGTTGTCTTGTCCTCTCATGCTGGTCTCATGAGCAGCTGACACTTAGTCCTTGCAGCACACACCCCTGCACAGGATAGGATTTCAGAAGAAGCTGTGACAGACCACCATGATAAGGCACAGGTCTCAGACAAACATGCTGACTGGCCTGTTTTATGTGCAGTTGGCCCCTTCTACAACTCTTTCTGTTTGTTCCCCAGTCCCTTTCACCTTCACATGCCCTCATCAGCTGATTTAGTTCCACACTCCCCCCTCCAACACCCTGGACCCTCAGGTTTGTGTGCTTATCAGTTGAAAAGTCCTCATTTGCCCAGAATTCCTGACCAGGTTTGTTTCTTGTCTTTGTTATGTTTGTCTATTTTGTTTATAGCTTCTCCTTTTTCTTTATCATCCCATTTGACAAGGTCCTCTATCAGATAATCTTACTGAAAGAAGCACTTAAACATTCCCCATATTCTTATCAAAATGTGAGACTGAGCAGGTTTGGTTCTTGTTACTGTCTTCCTCATTGTTTGTTCGTTAGATTTGTGTACCTGTGTGTTTTTTCCTTGTGGCTTCTCCCTCTTCCTATTATCCTCTTTTGCATTGAAAAGATCCTTGTACAGGCACCGTTGAGGGAGAAGATAGTCTTTTCTTCCACATAACCTTACAGTGGACGTCAGAAGCTTTGTGTATGTTAATTTGCCTTGTATGAAATTAGAAAGGAGCAAAGAAATATAAGCCTTTCAGGGTAAAAGCTGAGTTAAATATACAAATACACATATATGGAGAGAATTCTGTTGCTGGTTAATTTATGAGATTACAAAGTTACTGAAAGTGCCGTGGTGACATCCCCCTAAATGTCAGAGATACCAAGAAAATATCTGAATTAAAAAGAAAAAGGAGGCTTTGAATTATAGAAAATAGTTAACAGCCTGTGCAGTGTCAAGAGCACATAATGATTGTGAATCAAAGGAGAAGATGAGTCACCTTGACATTATCAGGTTTAGACATCTTGTGGAGAACCTACTCTGATGTTTTTTGACCTTTTCAGTTTCATTTAATTGTACTATATATGACATTGGTGATGTAGAAATAAATACGACTTGCATCAGTGGTTGTTATAGAGACAAGACAGGTAAGATGAGAAAACATGTGTTTTCTTTCTGCTGTTCAGACTGCTCTTTTAGAAAAAGCAACAGATGGTGCAGCCTCTTAAAATTAACTTGTGATGTCCCTTTTTCGCTGATATTTACAAATTTTTAATTGCTTTATTTGAAATCTGTACTAGAAATATTTGATTTAAAGTATTTTATTTTTATCTTCAGTAATAGATGAACAGGTTGCTTTGTATGTAAATATTGTTGTCCTGATTTGGTTAATGTGGAAAAATATTCACAGAAAAATTTCATGTGCTACTTTTCATCTTTGTTAGTGGAGAGAGGAGTGTTTTTGCAAAGGCATTTGAATAAAATCCTGCCAAATCTGGACTTCCCTAGAAATTTTTGGCAAGCTGAATTTTGCATTTGAATGTGTCAGGAATTCTGTATGAACTCATCTAGCTCATCTTGTTGCAGAATGGTTTAGCTTTAATAAGAAAACAGTTAATTTGCATAATTGTATGTTGTATGTAATTTCCCTAAGTGGATAAAACCATTACGCAGAGAAGGAGCTCTTTTTGTATCATGTACACCTTCCCGTTTTTCCTCTGGTGCATCCCAGTGTCACTTCAAAACCTCCTCATCCGTGTTAGTTGCCAGGGTTTCCACTTGAAGGTTCCATGGCATCTTTATAAGGTTCTTGTTCTTTGGATTTCATGTAGATGTCCATCCCATGAAAAAGACAGTTATGCAATGCCAGTTAGTATAGTTGTGGGTTTCATTGTCTTTCAGGATCTCTGCTTGCTTTTGCCTGAGGATTTTACAATGTGCAAAATCCACAGAAGCCTGATCTGCTTTACTGTCAACCAGTAATGTGCACTGAGCAAGGGCTGGATGTGCTTTCCCCTCTTCCTTTCCCTACCCTATATTCCTTTAGCCACTTGTTATTCAAATAAATTATTACAGGAAGACACTGACATTTCAATACATTAAAAAATAATAGCTTAAAAAGAGATCTAATTCTGTGTTATGTTTAAAAGCACCTTGTGTTTAAAACTCAATTTTTTTTTTCTTTTTTACTTGATTGAATGGACATGTGTTATTGAATTATGCTGAAAAAACAGTTCCTGTGCCGTTTTTAGGTAAAATGATTACCTTGACTTTAGTAAGGCCTTTGACACCATTTCCCACAGCATTCTCCTGGCAAAACTGGCTGCTCGTGGCTTGGATGGGCACACACTTTGCTGGGTAAAAAACTGTCTGGATGGCCCGGCCCAAAGAGTTGTGGTGAACGGAGTTAAATCCGGTTGGTGGCCGGTCACGAGTGGTGTCCCCCAGGGCTCGGTGTTGGGGCCACTCCTGTTTAACATCTTTATTGATGATCTAGACGAGGGGATCGAGTGCACCCTCAGTCAGTTTGCAGATGACCCCAAGTTGGGTGGGAGTGTTGATCTGCTCGAGGGTAGGGAGGCTCTGCAGAGAGACCTGGACAGGCTGGAGCCATGGGCTGAGCCCAACTGAGGAGTTTCAATGAGGCCAAATGCCGGGGGCTGCCCTTGGGCCACAACAACCCCCAGCAGCGCTACAGGCTTGGGGAGGAGTGGCTGGAGAGCTGCCAGTCAGAGAGGGACCTGGGGGTGTTGATTGACAGCCCGATGAACAGGAGCCAGCAGTGTGCCCAGGGGGCCAAGAAGGCCAATGGCATCCTGGCTTGTGTCAGCAATAGCGTGGCCAGCAGGGACAGGGAAGGGATCTGACCCCTGTCCTTGGCACTGGTGAGGCCGCCCCTCGATTCCTGTGTTCAGTTTTGGGCCCCTCACTCCAAAAAGGACATTGAATGACTCGAGCGTGTCCAGAGAAGGGCAACGGAGCTGGTGCAGGGTCTGGAGCACAGGTCGTACGGGGAGCGGCTGAGGGAACTGGGGGTGTTTAGTCTGGAGAAGAGGAGGCTGAGGGGAGACCTCATCGCCCTCTACAGCTCCCTAACAGGAGGTTGCAGAGAGCTGGGGATGAGTCTCTTTAACCAAGTAACAAGGGATAGGACAAGAGGTAATGGCCTCAAATTGTACCAGGGAAGGTTTAGTCTAGATATTAGGAAGCGTTTCTTTCCAGAAGGGGTTGTTAGGCGTTGGAATGGGCTGCCCAGGGAGGTGGTGGAGTCCCCATCCCTGGAGGTGTTTAAGAGTAGATTTGACATAGCGCTGAGGGATATGGTGTAGTTGGGAACTGTAGTGCTAGGTTAATGGTTGGACTGGATGGTCTTCAAGGTCTTTTCCAACCTAGATGATTCTGTGATTTAGTTAACATGCATGTCTCCTCTGTGCCTGTTCAGGTGAAGTGAGATATCTTTAATGTAAGCGTAGGCAAAAACTGTTTTACTGTGAGTGTGGTCAAACACATGAACAGGTTGCCCAGAGAGGTTGTGGACTCTCTGACCACAGTAATACTCAACCTGACTGGACATGTCCCTGAATGACTGGCTCTAGATGACCTTGCTCTGAGCAGGGGGCTCGGACTGGGTGATTTTCAGAGGTTGCTACCTACCTCAGCCATTCTGTGATTCCATGAAATTTGTAGTATTTATGTATCATTACTGAAAGAAAAAAAAATATCTACTGTAACTTAAAAAAATAACACTTGATTTATTGAAAAGTTGTTTATAGCTTGTAAGACAGGAAAAACCCTAGGTCATTCTATTGTACCTGCTATACCAATGAAGAAAATACAAAAGACTTACTTTCTTCTGTTGGTAGCACTCAGTAGGATTCTTAACCATAATTTGTTCAGCAGGAACTCAATAACTATTTTATGACTTATGAAATAGTTAACAAAAAAAGTAGAGAAACTTTTTTATAAGTGGGTTTTGTGTATTTAGGAGTTGAGTAAGTTTGGTGTTTTTTTTCCCAATTTCCACTAGAATTTATTTTAAGAAGTATTATTTGACTTGCTGGTTCATAGACAAGTTCACTTTTAGATCAAAACTATTTCTTTTAAAATATTATATGTAGACCTCTTATCACAGTTTTAGTCAATAAATCTATCAATGTATACTCCGTTGGCATATCAGTTCAAAACTAGCACAACAGACCTAATATGTTTCCATCTGAAAACTGGTAAATGGATCTTGAATGGAACCACCTTAAATGTCTTGGAGGAGACAAGATGCTTAATTTTTGTCTCTCTCTAATTGTGATATATTTTTTGTGAATAGCTAACTTTTTTTCAAAGCAAAAAAATTAGAGTAGCTTAAAACTGCTATAATCACAAGTTCTGGGTGACATTTCCTGTGTAGGTTATGAAAACATTTAGACATAAAACTGTGCTACATCATTCTTGGCAGATACCAGGAGGGCACTGGCACAGTTTTGCTGCTTCTAGAGTGCTAAAGCATAATTTCAAGTCTCTCTTGATGATTATCAGAATTAAATGCAGTGTTTACTTTAGATTTTTTTATCGACTGTAGCAGTGTTCATTTCCAGATCTGATACTGATATTTTGACTTAAGGTACACCAAGAGTTATTACTGTCATTGTTGTGTAGACATGTATCTTACTGCTGTAGTATATAACATAAAGTAAACACTACACTGAATGTGTTTTACCAGTATAATTAAAAATATTTTTAATTACAAATAAACGTTTGAAATAAAGGCTAATACTCAATATAATTTTGGTCTACCATTTTAGATGGCATTATCATTAAAAAAATTAATGTTTTTCTGAAATAATACTGAATAGTAAAGGAATCTAATTCTTATTTTTCCCCTTGTTTTTATTTATTCAGTCGAACAAGTTCCTGTGGAGCCCTACAACATTCCACTGTCTCAAGCTGAGGTGCTGCAGACAGGCAGCGATGTGACACTGGTTGCTTGGGGCACTCAGGTCAGTAAGACTCTTACTATCTATTGGTTATCCAGCAAAGCCTCGGCTAAAGGTTAGGTGATGTTTGAATAGTGTTACATTCAGGGTCAAATGCAAGACAATAAAGTGTGTGCATCTTCCATCACTGTATGCTTGAATAAATGATTGCCGGTGTTCATATGAAACCTTCTATTTATTGTGTAAGACTTTTACTTATTTTTGGTTGAAGCTGACTCTGGAAATGTGGAAGAGGAGGTACCTGTGCAGGAGGTTAATGATTTATCTGTGATTATGAAAAGTAAGAATGGGACAGTGAAATGTGACTGAGGAAGGCAGTGGGAAAGTTCAAAACAGTATGCTGAAAGAAAAGTATACATTTTTACTGCATGATTTAAAAAAAGTGCAGTCTAGGGTCTGCTTTATACAGAGTTAAAATCCAGTGAATATTTAATACAAATGGGGGTCGATATAGTTTTGATTCTAACAGTTACATTTCTAAGCTGTTCAAGAATATGATTGGACAGCCTTCCCACCCCCAAATTAAGATGTGCAAATATTGAAAAATCTAGTAACCCCCCCATGTTATTTTTCAAGAATTATAGAAATTTAAGTCTAGTTTGGAATTACCAGCAAAATCTTTTTATTGCCTTTAACATATAATTAAGAAAATTGCTATTTTCCTGGCCTAATTATATCTGAGAAGCTTTTAGAGGAGGGATTGTTAGAACTTTCAACACAAGAGTATTGAATTGATCTCTGTGGTTGTGCTTTTTTTTTTCCTGTTTGAAATCTATAATCTTCAGTGCTTTTCTGTGATAGTTTCCTTTTTCTCAGACCACTGGATCTCCTTTATATCTATGATTGTTCCTATTAGTGTCTGATACTTTGCATTGGTATTAAATTATGTACTCCTTCAATATCTTTACTTGTACTTGTTTCTCCAGCAGAAAACATTTTCTGTAGTTCTCCCTGTTCCCTTTTGAAAATGCAAATTTTTGGTCCATTTGGATGAAATCTTAGTGTTCATCATATTCCCAAAAAATGTATTGATAAAGTAATGGTTTGAAAGCTGTCTATGGAGATTTAATAATATCCTGTGTTCACCTAGTAGGCAGTAGTGCAGAGAGGACTTGGAGTGACATCCTTCAAAAAAACCTTTGTGCTTTGGAGCTTGGAAAATGTAGGCCAAGTGTTCAAGACAGGCGGTTCTTTTGATGTGAATAGTAACAGAACAGATGTGCAGTCCTAATCCAAATTTAGGAGTTGACCAAACCACGGGTGTGGCTGTATAATCCAGCATGGGGATACATGTTTAGCACATACGCAGTAAATCCAGCATGTTCTGGATGTGTCAGGCTTCCGCAGATCAAATACGTTCAGTGAGTTTGTGCTGAGGGTGTTTGCAGGCTGTGTATGTAAGCTTGGAACTTGACTGCTAAATGTGCAACCATTCCAGAGTTTATTGTCAATAGGCAGAGTGATTGCACGTACTCGCTTGTTACTTGTATGATTTCAGCCGTTAGGTAGTTGCTTGGCAGATGCTGCTCTGGTGGGGTTGCCTGATGCTTGTTTTCCTGGGTGGTACTATTGAGGAGCAGTAAAAGCTTTTAGTTCTTCTCCAGTTCTCAGTGGTTTATGGTCATTAATGAATACTTACCACTGTGAGCTAGGTAAACATCCTCACACATCAGAGAAATGGCAAAAATATCCATCCTGTGTCATGTGTAAACTTCTAAAACCCTCTTATTACAGCCACAGATGTATTAGAAGTTTAAACAGAAACACTAGCAAGCTATATTTTCTTTTTATTATTACAATACCTTTATTAATTTACTCTTTAAAAAACAGTCCTTTGGTGTTTAGCTGTTCATATTTTCATTATGTAGATGCATGTTTAAATCATTAATCATTTCAGCATAGATTTTTTTCTCGATGTAGAATTTAATACTGCACTCTAACTGTCAGGCAACTGACACAGCCTGACCGTGTCCATATTATTAAGTTTTGTTTCCTTCCAGACTAAGATGACCTCATCCAAATTGCTTGTTGGGGATGGTCCTTGGCCTCCAACCGCTTACTTATACCTAGAAGTTGCTTGATGGAGTCACCTGCCTCAATCCAAATCTGTATTAGGAAATGTTCTAACAATAAAGAAAACGTCAGAGTTTATTGACAACATACCAAGAAATTATTTTTTTTACCCTCATATGTCATGAACAAATACTTTTTGCTGAGATATTTGTGGAGGATAATCTGAGTTGTTGTCATAACGTTATTTTCCATGTTGGAGCATTTGCTTGCTAATGTTTGTTTTAGGGAAGCCAATGCTTACAATATGTTTCACTTAATGTTGTATAACATAATGCCAATATACAGTTTTGAATGTATGTAGTATTGCTTTCTTTTTATGTTCATATCATAACATACCTTATGAAAAGGATGCTAATAGATATGGATTGTTTTACATCTACTTTGATGCACTTAACATATGCTGCTAAATACATTCCTTCACTGGTGGATAGTGAGTAACATGTATTCTAATTCAGTGCAAGCATCTTGCTAGAGGGGAATACTTTTTTTGTTTTAGTAAAATGTTAATTATAATAACTGGCTTATGCAACATTTGTAATGTTGTTGTTCAACTGTGTTGGAAGACTAGTGAATGGTCATATCGTAGTAGTGCCAATATGCTTTGGTTGCCAGGGTCAGGACTGGATGGTTACAAATAACTTTTTATGTGGTACTATCTATCCTAATTTTTCATAAGATCACTTGGTAATCTGTTGCACTTTCAGTAAATTGTAGTAAGTGTAGTTACTAGGACTGTTTTTGAATGTACATAATGCTTCTTGCAGGATTTCATGTGACTGCTACTTCAAAATACATTTATCTGATATATTTGGGTCTTAGCTTAGTTACAGTCCTAAAAACCCCCTGACTACAAACCCCAAGCTGACTACAAATATAAAATAGTGAGACCTGATACTGTTCACTGAAAGATATTTTTCTAGAAAGCAACAATTCTGTGATTCTTCATTAAAGTTAGTTTTTGAAGTGGTGCTAAGATGCTGGGGATAATACAAGTAGTGAATAAGAAGAACAAACAAAGTAGCAAATGCTTTTTAGTTTACTGAATAAAAATGTTTCTGATAAACATGCAGGTAATATGTTAAATCACTGATTGTATTTTGTATGCGTAATTTAGAACATCTTAAATGAAATGTTTATAATACATTGTGATAATACATTGCCTTTTCAGGTACACGTGATCAAAGAGGTGGCAGCAATGGCTCAAGAAAAGCTTGGCGTGTCCTGTGAAGTTATTGATCTGAGAACCATCTTACCCTGGGATACAGAGACTGTTTGCAAGGTAAAGAAAAGGACCAAACATTTGTTTTAGCACTGAATGAGAAACATGTTTCAGGGTTCTAAATAATATTAGAATTCATGTTGTTTGCATTGCAGCAGAGGGCAGGATTTAATCAGACTTGTGCCTGAAAACTGCTTTTCCATGATTTCTGGCTCTTTCTATCATCTTTGCTGTCTTTGGGTCTGAAAAGATCAGGTGAAGTCTTTCATCTTTTTTTTCCCGTTGTTTTACACCAAGACCTTTATGTAGTTTTAGGTGTGCAATAATGTACCTTAGTTTTGTTTATCCATATTTCTAGAAATAAATGTTTTGATTTAAGGTATGTGAACTGTTGGGCTGGGGAGAAAAGGCAGCATTTGCTACTCTCAGACTATCTGGTTTGAAATTCATGGGTACTGTGAAGTCCTTGTCTGCTCTGTGGAAGTCTTTGATTTTCTTTCAAAGCACTGGGCACCTGAAACTAGAATTTGAATTTTCATATGCTGAGAAACCATAGGAAGTGGTTATTATGCTTACATACATCTTGGTCTGCTTACATTCCCCTGCCCCATACTGCTTTTTCTTGAGCAGCTAAGAGCTATTTGGAGGAAAGAACTTAAAGGAAATAGAAGGGAGAGTACTTTCCAAAAGTCTTTGTAAATCTAAGAATCCCCAAAGTGCCATTTGGGCAATTAAAAAAAAAAACAACCCACCAAACAAACTGGAGGTCATTAAAGCAAAGCCTTGTATCTGGAAAACTTAATTTCCCCCTCCCAATTGTTATCTAATATTTTTCCTGTTCTGATTTAGCAGTTTTTTTCTGTGCATTATTTAGAGTGCCTGTAATACTTTCTTTCCTTAATTTTTCACTTACCCATTTGATGAGGTACTTTTAACATTGTGAATACATGAATAAACTTAGATTCTGTAAAATAAATGTTATTGTTGCTGTTTTGGGAGCACTCATAGACAGGTCTTTTCCATAGCTACCTCATAAAAATTAGTCTGAAGTCTCTTCCATGAAACTGTTTTTGTCAAGCTACTTGAGAACTGTGAGAGAAGAGCTGCTGCCAGATTGCCATCCAGCAGTACAAAGGCTGATGAACATGCTTTTGGACTGCAGTGCTCTGAAAGGTTCTGCAGGTGTCTTTGTCTTTGCATTATTTACAGCATCAACAATTAGGGCATAGCCAAAGGTTTACCCCTCACTTCATGGTACTGGCTCCTTTGATCTAAGCTTGAACAAGTGTGGGTTAGCAGAGTGGTTGTAGCTTCTACTAGAGCTGCAAGTTTCCTTAAGCTGGCAAATTCACGGTCCTATAGGACCATGGCTAACAGCTCATTGGGTCCTAATTCAGTCTCTGCACACTAGCTCCTTTTATGCTGCTGATCAAATCACTCTGAAACTTGAGAGATGTCTGCAGCTTAACTCAGGCCTAATAATTGTAGTGTACTGTGTTAAGATAACCATAGGGTTCAGAAGAGCCGTGGACTTGAAAAAGGTGTGTGATTCCACCAAGTATCTTCTCTGCTTGTAGTTTCTAATTTCAGGCAATATGGTATTGTATCTACAGCTAAGTCAGACTACAGATTTTTAAATAGTGCAGATCAGGTGCACTGCAATATCTGACTATATTTTTGGAGTATCTTGTGTAGGTAAGTGTCTTGTGATTCTGTAGTTACTCAATAAGGGGCTTGCTCTTGGTCAGGTGAAGTATAAACAGATTAAATGTGATAAAGGGGAAGATAAGCCATTGGTCTGCTACTCTATGGCAAAGCTTGTAATTCTCCACAGTATGAATTTTACTGTTATGTTTGTCTGAGGGACTGCCAGGGGGACTGAACGGAGCAGATTATGGGAGGAAAGATTCACATTGGGCATCTGCTATTGGCAGGGTCCTACTGTCCAGTTGTGAATGTGTAACAAGTTGTGTACTTACATGCATAGAGATATGTTGCTTCATATAATTTTGAACTTCTCAGTTGAAGTGTTTTCAGTGTTTGTCTGCAGTGTATTTCATGTTACTTGGATGTACTTTCTAGCTGTAAAAAATGAAATGTGTTGAGTTGTCATCAATATAAAGAGAAACTGGCAGTAATAAATGCTTTACAGTCCCTTCTGGACAAGTAGAATTATTCCCTTTTTTTGTAGTTAAATTTTTTCCCTTCTTTAAAGATATGAGCTGTCATTCTATGAAAACAAAGCATCTCTTTGAAAGAGCAGTTAAGTCTGTTTTGTTGGATTGGACCTGCATTGATACGCTGTCAAGAAAAAATGCAGCTGTGCATAGGAAGTGCAGAGTTTTAGTTGTACAGTGTTTTACAAATCTGTACTTTAAAAATAGATACTCCATGAAGATTTTCAGCTTATGTTCCATTCTGAACATCTTTTAAGGTAACTGTGGCAAAAATAAAAAGATGGAACAGGTAGACCTGTGGCTTTAAATCTGTTAATGATTTTAATTTTTAGAATTAGAATTATTTCAAGAGAAATACAGTGCACGTTGGCTAGGCAGTTTATCTGTTTATTTTAATAAATACCAAATAGTAAATATTTTCAGCATTGCTCTTATGTTAGTATGGCTGTAGGCTGGCCAGTCTGAAGGGAGAAGTGTTAAATTATCTACTTCTGTAGATCTTGTCTGTTTTGCTCCGCTGAAAATAATTAGTGGTTTGCATTTTGTATTGTGTGATGCTGAAACTTAATTTGCATCCTGCACAGCTTTTAAGGTAATTGCCAACATAAATAGAAGGATTGAAACTATAGTGGTAGCTGCTTGTTGTAACCTCATCCCAAGAGGAACTGCTTGATGCAGCTGTTGCAGATGACAGTGCCTTACAGGGTCAGTTCTGGTGACAGGACTTGTTATTCTGTTCCTCAGATGCTAGTATCAAGGACCAAGAGACTGGTAGGAAAGTTAGCCATGCCAGAGAAATTCCTTGGCTGTCCATTGACCTTCTTAAGTCCTCTTTGCAGGCTCCTAAATGATTGTTTTTAGTCTAGTCCAACCTATTTAAGAACTCATCAGTTCTTGCAGGCAGCGCTTTGCTTCAGACTATTACTTATGTCAGCCTCCATAAATCCCAGGCCAAGTTTTTGTTTTTTTCTTGTCTTACATATGTGTTTGAAATATTATCATCTTGTCCTGTTGAACACAGGAAAATGATGGCGCATGTGATGCGCTGCAACCTTATTGCCTCACCAAATGATGGTGCTGGGATGTGTGGTTCTCTGCTGATAGGAATCTGTGCTGTTATCTTATTGGAGAGCAGGACTTTGGGTTTTGATGTAAAAACAGATCCCTCGGTTTTACTGCTGAGAGTGGTGTCTTTTTGTGATCAGAACAGGCAGTTATTTTAGTCCTTGGCCTGCTGCTGCTTTCAGTCCTTGCACATGTACATTTCTGTTCACATGTCTTCATGCCAAACTTAACATACCCGTTACTGTTCTCCATGTTGTTACGATTCTCCTGTCTGATGGCTCTTTCTAGAAGGCAGGAAGCCTTATCTAGCTTCTTGCATGCTCTGTGATTGTTCCTAATCATGTGCCTAATGTTAAGGTTACCTGTGTTCCATAAGGGTCAGTGTCATGAAGCTTTAATAAAGGAATCAAATTGTAAAGAAGCTGTATGTGTTTGCCAGCCTAATATGTTTTATTCTGCAAGCTTATTTTATTCTTATGCTTACCCAAGGAATGCTGCATTTTTATATAGAATTATTTCTGTGAATTTTCCTTGTTAGTCTATGTAACTTTTAAACAAAGCCAAGGAGCCTTCATGGTTGGTGTGGGGGAATGAGCAGGTCTCATAACCATAAGTTAATTGTTACTGTCTTTAGAAATGATCTAACTTTAACACTGAAGTTTTCACTGAAGTTTTTTAAAAATGAGATGCTTTACTTAAGTGGAAATATATGCAACTTTAAGACTATTTGACAGCTGTGGTGTAGGCATGAAGAAGGATGAGCTGAAATGGTTAGTGCTTTGGAGATGAGCACTAATATGTCAAAATTTTCACTGCAAATCTAAATGCTTAGTCTGCTTTCTGTAGCTGTTTCTATATAGAAAATTATGTCATCAAAATACATATTTCATAAAACTATGAGAAGTCATACTTCACAACTGCCACCAGAGGCCTGTTTTTAGCCAAGTTAAGCAGCTGATTTGACTTTGCATTGCTCCTTTGAACATTTTTATGAATAGATAGCTCTGAGTGAAACCTAAATAGTGAACATAAATAAAGACGGTTGAATAGTTTTTTATTTATATTGTTTAATTATCTAAATATGATACAGTATATACATGTAAATATTAACTGTACAATTACTATAATAAATAATATAAATAATACACTAAATATGTAGTACATAAATATAAGAATTATATATTACTATTTATAATATTTCCTTTGCATTTTTAAGATGTTGAGACTATATTCGGTTTTGAAATAGGTTAGCATTTGTCATCTTCATGAGAAAGAGATGAGGGTACATCTGCCTGGAGCATAATGCCTTGAACTTTGAGTGGATCTCAGCAGTAGCTGAAACCTTCTTTTTGCTACAGTTCCTGGGATGGGTAAACATGCAAACAGAGGCTAGTGTTTTTTGGTGTTTTTTTTTTTTTTTTTGTGACTCTTTAGATGTGTAAGAATCAGTACTGAAGTTTGAGCTAGTTATAGTAGCTCATAGAGCTATTCCAGAGAAAGGATATCTCCTGAGGGTCATTCATCCTAGATGTTTCAGCAGCCTATTTTGGGATGAGATAAATTGTTCTCTGGAAATTTCTTGATGTAAAAGTTAAAAAAAAAAAAAAAAAAAAAAAAAAAAAAAAAAA